GGCTAAGAACAATGTGTAGAACCCTTATAAATAGTCACTGGTTTATTCAAATAGTTCTTTGTCAGTGTCCCACAATTTAACCTTTCTTTTCTTTGTTAAATGGGTATAGAAGTCTCCCAAATATAACTGTTCCTTCAAGTTTCAATATTTTTTTCTGTAAAATATTGTGTACATAAATTTTTATAAGATGGCACCCTTTTCCTCCTGGTTTCTATATTTTGTTGGTTTAATTTACAAGATCCCCTTGCTGATAACATAAGAGAAAAAAATGTCTCCTAACACTTGTTATTCAGTGAGAAGGTAAAGAGCGAAGTGTTAAGTTGTGAGCATAGCCCCCAGCCCCTCACATCCATCCCAGCCCCCAGGCCTGGGAATTGTATTGGTCTGGACTCCAAATACCAGAATGCCAGGTTCTGACCCCTCCCAAAGGGTATTTGAGGGAGCTCCCAGAAGAGAAACCCGTGTTGTGTTGTGTCCGTGCCCCCCCCCCCCCCCCCCCCCCCCCCCCCCCCCCCACACATAGTAGTCGCATTTGCAGGTTATCCCTCGGGGCCACCCGAGAGTGCAGGAATTCCATTAAACCTGGAAATTTTTAATTTGGCATGTGATTTGGCTTGATTGGGATTTTCACATTGGCAGCGAGCTCGTGTTAGAAAAATTCCTAACAGGTAGGTTCCTAAGGTACCCTTTCATCTTACTTCAATTTGCCAACTATACACAAAATTCCTCTCTTGATTTTTGCTTGTAGCCCATGTCAAATGACATGGCCATAAGAAAAGCTATCTCCTTAGAGACAGTCTCTTGGAAAACAGGCTGACTTCTCTCAGTTGACCTCACAACCGAAGGGCTGTGCAAGATTATATGATAATTTATCCTTTCTGGTTAGCTCCCCTTCCTTCCAAGTCCTTCATGAAATGACTGTTAATGACTCATATATAACAAATGAAGGCTTTTCCTAAAAAATGGTAGGCATGATGTGGGGAGGAAGAAGACTGATACTAATATCTGAAACCTAAGATTATTCAAACATATCATGCACTTTGACCTCTCTCTCTCTCTCTCTCTCTCTCTCTCTCTCTCTCTCTCTCTCTCTCTCTCTGTGTGTGTGTGTATGTTCCATACACTGGGTATAGCAGCATATGCATATAACTCCAGAACTTTGAAACTTTGTAAGATAAGGCAGGAAGATCAAGAATTTGAGAATTTGAGCAAGATCCTGTTACCTTTTTTTTTTTTTAAAAGACAAGTCCCACATGTAAACACATACTGCTAATAAAGACGTGGAAACATCTTACTAGAAATGAGCACATAAGCAATATGTTTCATAAAAGTCCCCTTTTTTAAAATCATGCTCTTAGTTATATTTAAGTCCAAGTAATATCATCCACAGTTAATGAGTATTATCCCCTCTCTAGATGAGTGTCCTTTTGAATCCTATGCCTTTAACAAAGGGGTTGTTATGGAAACATTTTTTTTTAACTGAGAGGTGGTAGTTTAAAGTCTGTGCAATTTAGTAAAGTATACTGGGTCTAAGGGTTACATTAATTTAACTACCTGTCTTTAAATCTAACAATTTTATCTTAATTCAATTGCTTTGTGCATTTGACACATGGTATTCACAAGCAGTTAGAAATGGCATGGGAGCTCTTTAAGCAAAAGACAATTCTCATATGCCTAAATGCAGTTCAATCAGTGCATGTTCCCCTTGCCTGAAACTCGTCTGTTCTTGGCATGTTTAATAATGAGTTATACAATGCATTTGGAAGGTGAGAGGGCCACTTCCCAGGGCCCAGGGCCATGTTGTGATTTTCTATGCCTAAGTCCCCTGTCTTTGTTCAGACAGGTTGCTAATGCATCCCACAAAGCTTACCTAATGCTTCTTCAGTGGGCTTATTTTTCTTCTGTGGCTCAGTTTGCATGTGATATTCAGGAAGTCAACTGTCAGGCATGCAAACTGACAGAAAAATATACCACATTAAATCTAAATCATGATGGTTTAATAAGGTATCGCTCATGGGCAAATGGCTTCTGGTATTCTTTCTCCCATAGGGACATAACGTGTTACAGAGAAGAGATTCAGCACTTTTACTGGAATTCCACTTCTGTCAAAGCACTTACTGAAATATGTTCCAAGGACATACATAGTATGGCTACATTTCCCTATTTGAAGATATAAGATACTAGGTATCCCTTTAATCATGCATATTATTGATCTTGATTTTTATGACTGGGTGCAATATTAAGACCCAAATATCAATTTTAAAACTTGTAGTCATAATTTCTATCTGGAGACATAATGATAACAATTCTTTAAAATGTTTCATGGTCTCTCAAGAACTTCATTACAAATAAAAATACATAATTTAAAACCCTTTTTACTATAAAGAGAAATTAATAGAAAAAATTTCATCTCAGTTCAGTTGAAAAATCTAAAGTAGACATACATTTAAGTTATGTCTTATTCAATTTGATGTAGATTTGGGAAAAAAAAGAATTGCAACGATGAGAGTCCCCAAGTCATCTGTACAGTTTGCTGCAAGAAGTAGAGGAAGAAAGGGAGGAGGAAAGAGAGAGAGAGAGGGAAAGAGAGAGAGAGAGGGAAAGAGAGAGAGAGAGAGGAAGAGAGAGAGAGAGAGAAAGAGAGAGAGAGAGGGAAAGAGAGAGAGAGAGAGAGAGAGAGAGAGAGAGAGAGAGAGAGAATTCATTAATGTAGAATCTTCTATGGCTTCCAAACTGTATGCTCTGTTTTGTTTTTTTTTTTTTTTTTTTTGTCGGAAGAAGGGTTTCACTTAGCTCAGTCTAGCTTGAAATTCACTACCCAGACCAGGATGACCTTGAACTTCTGATCTACTTCTCCAGGGCTGGGATTAGAAGAGACACCAGGAGCACAGCAGCTTTAACTTGTGCTAGCTTGGAACGTTAATGCATTATCATCATGGTGGAGAACACGGTGATAGACAGGAGACGTGGTGCTGGAGAAGCAACTAAGAGTTCTAGCAGGCAGCAGGAAGAGAGGGCCACTGGGCCTGGCTGAAACTTTTGAAAATCTCAAAGCCCACCTCCAGTGACACACTTCCCCCAACAAATTTACATCTCCTAATTAAAGTCACTTCCTGGTGATCAAGCATTCAAAATCTATGAGCCCATGTGGTCCATTCCTATTCAACTTACAACAGATAGCTGATTCTTGTCAATCACATCCATGTCTGTGCTTGAGAAAACAGAAAGTGTTTTCTCATACAGAAACTGGTTTACTTTTTAAATGAATAATTTTAATTGGTCTTTAGCTGATCAATAAGCATAAATATCATCTGTATCTGTAATCCCTTTTTACTTGACTACAGTTATTCCTTCCACTAATTTTGGACTTGTTTTGTTAGATAAAGAGAATGACTTACAAAAGCAAAACAAAGATTCAAAAATATAAAACAGAAGGAATGGAATGAAAGCAACAATAAAATGCTGATGAAATACAGAAGAATATAAGTGATGTATGTGGAAGTACTGTGTAATAAAAGTTTTTGGTTTCTTTTTTCTTTTTCTTTTACTTTTTTGAAATAAAAACCATCAGAAATGTTCTTTGAAAATGCATTAACATGGAGAAAAAATAATGAATATTAGCCAGTGCCAGTAGGAAATTACACCCCTCTTTCTACTCCGGTTAATTCTTGTTTAATTAAAAGAAATTGAACAAGATTAAGAATTTGAAAATAAAGAGGAAGGCAAAACAGTGATCTATCGTTTTTTTTTTCTTTCTTTCAGCAGTTCCTTTTTAGCTATAATTAATCATCCACTCCAAACAGCAGACCACCAGGGAACTGTATTGAGCAGGGACAAGTCAAAGCAACAGAAGGGAAATCAGTCTGTACAGGCCTCACCAGTGGAATTTGAACTCTGAGTGAAAAGACAGTAACAGTGTCAGAGCAGCCTCTGGTGGCTGACTGTCAAAAACTCAAGAAGACAGAGGCCTGTTTCCTGGTGATCTCTTGACCTCTATGCTCCACGGTCAGAAGATTTGACCAAAATAGAAGCAACTACTCATAAGACTTCAAAGAAGGAACCAGGCCTTGATTTAGTTGGAATGAAAAGTGAATTCATCAGTCTCAAGGCCAATCACAGATGAAATGGGGATTGAATTCTGACAAATTGGCTCATTCTTGCCATGGATTGCATTTTCTTTATACCTTTTCATTGGTGAAATGTGCCAAATATAGAACTGTCTCCAATTCTTCAAGGATTTCTAGTAGTTGGTCAACTAGTAGTGACTGACACCTGGTATTTTCATTTTTAAGCCCTGAGAATTTTTAAATATTCTAAATATTTTAAACTCTTAGACATTTGCATTCAGAGGTCTGTCTATTAGCAGGATTTGGGTGCAATTTTTGTTGTTCTTACAACCCTCCAAGCTGAGGAACATCTGTTTAGGACAGAGCATCACAAATTCCAACAGATAGTATTTCCATTGAGACATTTTGTCTAAGATGTTCAAAATTGAATCATCTTATCTGTGTCAACTGTCATGTTCTAAAGAGTGCTGCAGTCTTCCACCTCCTGTTTCTGATGACATATCTTTACAAATCAGGTTAGAATGCTTAGCGCAAAACCATCTACATCTTTAGAGATGACTCAGGAATTTCAGGCTGAGTGAAGGTAATTTTGGGAACACATAAACACATGTTTTAAAACTGACTTCAATCGAGCTCATCTGCATTTAGTTGGAGTAATAAACTAGCGGATCTCAGGGCTACCAGATCTGATGAAATTCTGATAGGACCACATCAACTGAATCAAAGAGTCTTGGTAATCTTTGTATATTCCGTGTTGAATTAGTGCTCATTCATATAGAAATACTCCAGTTCGGAGAAATGTTCGTATCTGGGTGACCTGGGTTCTTGTTTCATTTCCAGGAAAGAAACAACAGTTACTTGAAACTACAAAGAGTCAAGAATAATATAGCAGTGTTGTGCCTCTTGACAAATGTGCTGTGGTGACACCAGCGCTCGACAGAGCTCAAGGGGGGGGTGAAGAAGGGGCCGGCCTTCGAGCGACAGCGACGCAAGATGGCAGCCACCACAGGCTCGGGAGTAAAAGTCCCTCGAAATTTCCGACTGTTGGAAGAGCTGGAAGAAGGCCAGAAAGGAGTAGGCGACGGCACAGTTAGCTGGGGTCTAGAGGACGACGAAGACATGACACTTACAAGATGGACAGGGATGATAATTGGGCCTCCAAGAGTAAGCACCAAGCCATGACTACAACTGTCTTTGTCTTAAGTGCACTGTGCCTCCTTTTAAAGCAATGGTCGCCTTGTGGGCAAATGCTCACTAGCAGTGTTTTCTGAAATGTGGCTGTTCTCTCTCTGGCCAGTTTCAGTTTATACATTTGAGCCCCTCTGGTGAGGTCTAACCCTCTTGGGTGAGTCGATCCTGTACAGTCTGTAGTATGAGTTTATATGACAGTGTAGACCTTTGAACTGGCACGTCTCAGGCTGAACAAGCTCTGAGCACCTGGGCTGCCAGCACACTCCTGAGGCAGCAGCCACCACTGCCCAGCTGTGCCCTGCTCGTCAGCTGAGCATAGGTTCTGTTTCTGCCTGTCAGCGCTGCTGGGTCCAAAGGTATTTTTAAAAGCCAGGACCTGTGAGAGCTCTGGTTTGTGAGGTCCTGGCCAGTTGTGTCTGAATACATAGTTAGCCCTCCAGAAGTGTATTTAGTGCTGCAAGGTTGTTGTCAGGTCCTCCTACAAAGCCACATTCCAGGTCACAGGTGGGGAAGCTGACCCAGGAGTAACGTCACCTGCCCTGGGTCTGGTTGCCAAGCCTGTGCTCTCTGCCTACTAGGCCACACTGACACGCTCCGCTGGAGAAGTTGAGTTTTCATTGGTCAGCACTGGGGGGGGTAGATGTACGTCTACTTCCTGGTGCAGGAGAGAATTTGGCAGAAGGAAAGACCCTAGAATGGGACACTCCTACAGATGAGCACTGGAAGGTGTGGCCTGAATGTGGCTAGACCTGTCTAGTGTGTTTGTGCCTAAGGGTGACAGCTTCCTTCCTTTTTAGCTTGAGCAAGGTGCTGCCTGTGCACTTTGGAGATAGGAGGAGTCCAGATGTAGGCAGCAGGAGCTGACACCTGCCTCAGGCTTGTTAGCATTCAGAGGCTTGAAGTTCCTTTTAGAGGATCATTGATACTGTTGGGGAATGGCCAGCCTTGCACCTTACTGTGGCTTCCTAAGTCATCTTCATGATTCTGTTGCCGGGTACAGAGAGTTAATACNGAGGTTGGAAGAGCCTGGCCTCCCTCACTTAGCTCTGGACCACACATTCACTTGCCACCAGCCTGGGAAGGGGAGCTGGGTCCTCAGCCCTGCTGCCACCATCAGTCGATGCACTTTGAGCTCAGGTCTCGAGGTGAACAGAGCAGTCACGAGGCAACAAACCTGCCAGTGTTCAGGGTCCTTGGTGATTCCGCCTAGAGAAAGGCCATGCGGAGAGTCCTAAGCGCACGGGGTTCTGTGTCGGTTCCTTTTCTCATAATCGCTTTGCTTTTACAAACTGAAGAGGTTTGGACAGGGCTCCCTGGCCACCCATCCGGTCTGATGTGGAGCCTGACAGCTGGAACAGAGGCCCTGACCCTGTGGACTCAGGTTTCAGTGTTGCTGCTCCTCAGACCCTCGGCAGGGACCTGGAGGAGCTCCGTGTCACGAGTTTTCAGTGGGCCTAGCCTCCTGGCTCGTTGCCACGTTCCCCACTCTGTTCAGGACCACTAAATGTTGAAATATGAATGCATACCGAAATAAAGGCAATTTGTTGTGTTGCAAAAAAAAAATGTGCTGTGGTTATGGGTAGTGTTCACATGGTGGAGCAAGGACATCTGGGACCCTTTTGGTACTTGCTCCATTAGTTTCTACAAATCATAGAAAAGTTCTCAAATCAAAACTTTCCTTTTGTAAAATGAAAAATGGAAAGATTAATATGGTGGTTAAAATTCAAGGAAGAGGAAAAGATAGAGAGGATTGTCTTATAGAAAAAGTTTATATCATGTTTTGTATTGGGCACCGATCTGTACATATTACTATTACCTCATTAAAATGGTTCTGGGTGGAGTGGCTGAGTTCTGTACTCCAAGCACTTGGGAGGCTGAGACAGGAAATTTGCCATGAGTGTAAGGTCAGTCTGGGCTACAATGTGAGACTCTATGTCAACTCGCTCCTGAATAAACAGTGCTCTTTAAGTGCACTGAGAAAGGAATGTTGACAAAATAAACCAGTTATGAAGAAAAATTCCAGAAATGTAATACTTAAATTTTTACGAAACCATCGTTTCTCCTTTTGCTTAACTATTTCCCTATTTTCCACCACGTGAGAGAATCAGGAGCAATGGAAGCACCAGTAGTAACATAAAAAAAAAAAAAAAAAAACAACCCTGCATAGAGTAGCACTCAGTGTGGCCACAAAGGCCAATTGGCTTTAATCCATTCTTTAGCATGCCTCCATTACTACCCCAAATATTTTTAGAGAGGCTGGGCAGTGGTGGTGCAAGTCTTTAATCCCAGCACTCGGGAGGCAGAGGCCGGCGAATCCCTGTTGAGTTTGAGGCCAGCCTGGTCTACAAGAGCTAGTTCCAAAACAGCTAGGGCTGTTACACAGGGAAACCTTGTCTCAAAAAAACCAAAAAATAAAAAAAATATTGTTAGAGTCAAAACAGCCTCTAAAGTTCCCATGATGACAGCTACGCAGACCAACTTCCAAGCAGGACACAAAACTGTACCCTTTCAAACTGAGGAAGTGAAAGAAGCCTAGATTACAAGAGTAAAAAGTAGACATGAAAAGCCCAATCTCATTTAAGTGTCTCTCAGCTTCCTGTTAATTCCACCAAGCTGCTGCCATTCCTTTCATTATCGACGTTGTTTTATAATGCATTTGCTGTTGTTACTATTACACATGCCAGAACATCTCAAGTTCTGTCCAAACTCTGTGGGTATGACAGCATGGCACCTTGCTTTCACGATTTGGTACCACAGCAAGAGGAGGTATAGTCTTTGGCTGAGGCAGTTTAATGGCCTGAAGTTCCAAAGAAACAAGGAATCAATCAGAAGGGCTGGCTTCCATTCTCTCTGCCACCAAAAACCTGTGTGTTCTGGGAGAACCATTTAATTCCTCAGCAAGGCAGTAGTGGGAAATTTCTCTGCTAAACCCTTAGACCCTGGAAATGGGAAGTTTTTGAGCACCAAATCGAATTTTGTCCGAGGACCACATCACAGACCTCTTCTGCTAGCCACTGTCACCGTGACAATGTTTTCCCCATGGGTTTCAACACTTGCACTCTGGTTCAACTTGGATGTCTTGCTTTTGGATACACAAAGACTTCTCCATTTCTACATAGGGGCTTTTCAGGTAGAGAGTTGGAATCCCATCCTCAGACACACCTGGATTCACAATCCCAAAACATAGGGGCTTGATTCTCACAGAGCCATTACTGTCAAGGTACAGGACCTTGCTCTCTTTCAGAACTGGGAAATGTAGAGACTCATTTCTCTAAGTTTCCCAGAACACTCCCGAAAATGAACCTTAGGTATGGGGGAGGGGTGCAACATGATAATGCTCTTCACCTGGCTTTCCAGGTGTATCTGATTTAACACTAAAGCCCCAGACATACAGTTGCTCCATGAGACCACTTTGCCTGTACCCTTGCTCTAAGAAAGATTTGCTTCAGGATCTGCAAGAGAGGGCATGTGCATGAGAGACTAAGAGAAGCTTCTATTTTGTATCAGACAGTCTCATCTTTTCCTGCTCCAAATGATGATGGCTCTACAATTGTGTGCTGGCAGAGTTCAAGTCTGCCCAGTGGTCCTTGTAATAAGAACAAGCTGGGAAGGACTGAGTGGTCAGGAACACAGAAAATTACTTCCAGCTTTTTGACTGACTTCAAGAGGCCAGTGTGTATAAGGGTCTGACACAGGCCCAGGGAATATTTAACTATATAACACGACAACCTAATAGAAATGGAAAGAAAATTTCACACTGCGTAATTTAAGCAGAAATGCTTAAACAAATGCACAAAACCCTCTTTCCCCATTCCCAGGTATGAAGGAAAACTTAAGAGGAATGCTTTTCAGCCCAGTTTTCTACTCAAAACAGAAGTTTTAAAGTTCATGAGAAAAATACATGTTTGTGAGTTGCCAAAAACAAGAGAAGTATTTCATTCTTCCTTCTAGAAAAGTTATTGGTGGGGAAGAGGTTGGGTTTTTTTGTTCTTTTGTTGTTGTTGATTAAGCTTGGTAAATAAATTAAGGGTTATTAACAAATGGCAACACTTCCACACACCTTTAAAACAATTGTTCTCCAAGAAAACCCATAGAACCAACTAACTTAGGCTCATAGGAGCTCACAGAGACAGAGCAGACAGTCAGGAAAACTGCATGGATGAAGAATAAAAATGTGGCTCCCAGCCTGTGGCCTTTCCCTGGAACAGCATAGAGTCTTCAGAACAGGTATTTACATTATGATTCACAGCAGTTGCGAAATTACAGTTAGGAAGCAGAAACTAAAGAATCTTATGGTTGGGGTCACCACAACATGAGGAACTGTACTAAAGGATTGCAGCATTAAAAAGGTTGAGAATCACTGCCTTTTTTGTTCATTCATTTATTCGTTAGTTCTACATCCCTGCCACAGTTTCCTCTCTTCCTTCTCCTCCCAGTCCCTTCCCCCATCCACTCCTCCTTTTCTATTCAGAAAAGGTCAGTCTTCCCATGGGTATCAACAAAGCATGGCATATCAACTTGCAGTAAGACTAAGCACCTCCCCTTGTATTACAACCCATTATGAGGAGTTGGGTCTCAAGAACCTGTAAAAGAGTCATAGACAGTCCCTGCTCCCACTATTAGGAGTCCCATAAGAGGACCAAGCTACACAACTGTAACATATATGCAAAGGGTCTAAGTCAGTCCCATGAGTCCCATGAAGGCTCCCTGGTTGTTGGGTCAATCCCTCTGAGCCCTTATGGGCCTAGGTTAGTTGATTCTGTGTGTGAGAGCAACTGCTATAAAATAACATGTAGCGATTCTTTGAAAGGGCTGTTCGGAAAGTACCATATAACCCATTTCTTTATCCATATAAATTTTTTGTATATTTATTGATTAAGACAAGATTCATGTAGTCCAGCCTGATTTGAAACATTCTATAGAGCTGAGAAGGACCTTGAAATGAGCCTCCTTCATTCTGAGTGCCAGGTTTACAAGGCTATGCCACCCTACCTGGCTCCATAGGTCATTCTATAGAACAAGAATATGTGGATGTCTCAAATTTCATTAGTGGAATAATATGGCAGATTCTCTTCCATTTTTCTTTTCAGAAATTTGTCAGCCACTAAACCATGTAGGCACCTTACGGAAGAAGCTCCTAAGTTATGCAGCTTCAAAGTGCCTGTACGTAGGCAAAGATGGACATGGCTAGAGGTGTTCCTGCCTGTCATCTATACCACAGAAAACGATCATTTATAAGACAGCTCTTGTCTTAGACATAAATTTAATACCTTGGAGTTATGTATGCTCAGTATGCTCCGAAACGTGTGGGTCTTCTTCCCTTCTTGAACTATGATTTCAAACTGAGAATGCTTGGGCTATAGTCCTTAATTGCGCAGGCTCAGGAATGTGCCCACATATAAAGATTTTTCCTATATGACTATTTGCAGTGTCCATGAATAAATTCTGTTCTTCCTTTATTCAGGAAGGCCATCACTTTGGAAATAACTTTCATGTTCTCTTTACCTATTGCAGGTAACGAATTTTTCTATTCTCTTACTTCTTAGCTGTGCCTGTTTTGGCTTTGCCTTCACTGCTAGGGAAATCCATTGTATTTGGTTACAACTTGAAATTTTTTGAATAATTTTTTTAATTGGAAGATATACTAATAGGTCTATACTTGAGGTGGCTTCAATCACTATGTCCCTGACTTAGTATTATTGGATAAGATATACATTGGATAAGATATACCATTTTATAAAGGAATTTTTTGTGTGGATTTTTTCGAGACTAGGTTTCTTTGTAGCTTTGAAACCTGTCCTGGAACTAGCTCTAGTAAACCTGGCTGGCCTCGAACTCACAGAGATCCACCTACCTTTGCCTCCGAAGTGCTGGGAGTAAAAGCGTGCACCACAACTGCCCAGCAAAGAAATTATTATTTTTTTACCATCTTTGGTTAGCAATGTGGTATTTCCACAGCATTACCCTATAAAATGAAATTTGCACACAGACACACACACACATACACACACACACCAAATTGTGTAAGCACCATTAAAATCATAATACGATGTCCTTTTTACTTAAAGAGACTGGAAAGATGACTCAGTGGGTAAGACTTTGTCTCATAAAGTAAAGTGGAGTGTAATCAAGGAAGCTACTCAATGTCCTCCTCTGGCCTCTGCATGTGCGTGCCTGGGTCCTTGTGTGAGCATACACACATGTTGAGAGAGAGAGAGAGAGAGAGAGAGAGAGAGAGAGAGAGAGAGAGAGAGAGAAACCAATTCCCAGGTAAGAAGTATCTATCATATCATCATATTGTAGGTACACACTGAACTGGCCCTCACAAAAAAAAAAATCATTCTAGTTCTACTTCTGCATTTATCTAGCTATATAACTCAATAAAAATTAGTTTGAGACTCAATTTACCCATATGTAAAGTGAGAGGATTGAGGGAAATCATTTTTAAGGATTTTTTTGAGCTTTATTATTCTTTGGTTCAAATAAATGCTTTCTAGACTATCATATGGTACAGTATAACCCAGAAAGGGGTTTATCAAAGTCATTTAACTTTCCTATGCCATTGGCCAATGACTAATTTGGGAATTGTTGACTTTACCAGCAATTACTTAAAGGACTGGCGTGAGAATCAGTTCTGACCAATGACATAAAAAGAATAATCTGCTAGTATGTTTCTACAAAAAGATTTGATAGCTGATTAAGATTTTTTTTATTGATTTTTATTGAGCTCTACAGTTTTCTCTGCTCTCCTCCCTGCCTCTCCCCTCCCCCCTCAACCCTCCACCAAGGTCCCCATGCTCCCAATTTACTCAGGAGATATTGTCTTTTTCTACTTCCCACATAGATTAGATCTAACCACAATCCCAGAGAATTTAGACAACAATGAGGACACTAAGAGAGCTGATTAAGATTTTAAGGCCGTAATGGGGTATGTGTGTGGAACAGGTAGGGGACTTTACTTCTTGCTCTCATATGTAATTAGTTCGGAGATAATGTTTGCAGCTGGACAATTACCTTCTAGCCAATTGTGATGTAAGCTGATTGGCTGAAGCTCACAGAGCAGAAGGTGGGAAGAAATACCAGTATTCTCAGTGACATTATTGTATCAAGGTACTAACCAATCCCGCAACACATTGTGTTTGGACATTTGTGTGAGGGAGTATTTTTTTAAACAACAAGAAGAAAGTCAATGTTGTTCAAATCAACAGATTATAATATGTAATCATGTTACCCATTATAAAGTGGTCAGCACTGAAAGCATATACATGCCAGCAATTACAATGAACTCTGCAGGTGTGTGTGTGTGTGTGTGTGTGTGTGTGTGTGCGTGCTATTAGCAGCAAATAAAAAGAGGTCATCAATTAGAGGAGAGGGAGAACATTTAAAGCATTGGAAGGAGGAGAAGGATGGGGAAGTGATGGAGGGATATTTAAATTAATAATTAAGAAAGCTAGCTCGAAGAAACTAGAGAAATGGTGCAGTTAAGAGCATTAGTTGTTCTTACAGAGTAAGAACCCAAGACTGCTTCCCTTCACCCACCTACATGGCAGCTCATAACCATCTGTAACTCCAGGCCCTCTTCTGGCCTTCACAGACACCAGGGACACGTGTGATGCACAGACATACATACAGGCAAAACACTCATACACATAAAATAATAATATTTTTAGAAAGAAAAATCAGTTCCATCTCTATATTAAAACACACACAGGAAAACGGCTTTAAATTATCTGATGGAGTTTGCAAGCACTCTGAAAAAGTTCTTCTAGGGTGTCAAAACACCTTGTAGCTATCTAAATAAGTACATGCAGACAGGGATTTTGTCCTTAAACATCTACCAAAGAGAATAGCTGCCTTCTGGAAAGAGAATGATGTACAAAGACATCTTTGTTGTGGGAGTTCCTTGTCTTTATGCCCACTTCTTTTGTGTTCTTAACATCATATCTCTTCCTGTGACTTTTAATACACTCTCTACATATCCATTCTGGATGACAGGGCTGTGTCTTAAAAGAAAATGTGGTGGTATGGGGAAATGCTGGAGGAGAATTTTGTCTTCAGTAGTTGGATCATATTGTAAGACATGAGAAAGTCTTGATAAACCTGTGTGCCCACTAATGTCAACATAGCTGTCGGTTTGTGAGTTACACTATATTTAGAGCAATGTCTAACCATTACAGGCAAGCACAATAATAGGGTCACAATAGTTACCGAAGATTTTTTTTTTCACACGACCAAGCTTTATTCATCCTCAGTGACTAAAGAAAGGCAAGCTCACTGGCGCTTCACTTCAGTATGTTGTCATCTTGAGCTTCTGCCCGTTCTCTTTCAATCCGTTTCAGCTCATCTAGTCTCTTCTTCTCCTCTGCCGCCACCCTCCTCTCCTCCTCTGCTGGGGGTTTTAGGTAACTATAGCGCTTGGCGCTGTAGGCCATGCCGAGAAACAGGGCTGAGTATCGGCTGAACTGATCGTGAGTATTGATGAACAGAGAGACCTGAACTGGGGGCACCATCTTGTCCATGACCTTCGTGCCGGAAGCTTAACTCTCGAAGATATTTTTAATCCATGAGAATAATTTCTATACAAGCAATCCAAAAGGTGCAGAAGACTCTAGTTTTCTAAGATTCCCAGCTGTCATTATAATACTGTCTTTATGGCAATAGAGTCCAGACTGGCACTGAAATCATGTTCTTCCTTCCTCAGCTTTCAAACTGCTTGGGTTACAGGTGTTCACACTGTGATCTGCTCAGGCCACTATAATTTTTAATATAAAGCATGCAATGTGAAATATTATTGACTTGATACAGGAAATGATACTTTGAACTTTAGAGCCATAAAAACAAAATGACACATGTGCTTCGTTGAAGTTTGATTTTGTAAGTTACTTGAAATAATGTTTGTGAATTGATTAATTACAGTATGGCTTTGAAATAATTTTGAAAGTAGTAGCTTTTGAACATCTACTGAAAGATGTAAAAGAAAAAGTCATCCCTAGTAGCAGTATGTACGTGTGTGTGTGTGTGTGTGTGTGTGTGTGAGAGAGAGAGAGAGAGAGAGAGAGAGAGAGAGAGAGAGAGAGAGAGAGAGAGAGAGAGAGTAAGGTCAGAGGACAACCTTGGCTGTCAGTCCTCACTTTCAGCCTTGTTTAAGACAGGGTCTCCTTTTGGCAGTTTGTTGCTGCATTTGTCAGGCTAGGTGGTCTGCAGACTTTCAGGGCTTCTTCTCTTTCTACCTCTCACCTCCTTGTTTAAGCACCGGAACCGCAGATGCATGCAACCGTGCCCTATTTATTTGGTTTCCGGGGATTTGAGCTCCAGTTCTTACACTTGCCCAGCAAATGTTTTATGGACTGGGCCATCCTCCCAGTCTCTGGTATATACTATTTATTTAAAAAGAAATAGATAGAAGATATGATAAATTGTAGAGAATACAGAAACTGCACTGATCCAAGCCACCATACTCATATGCATCATCGCTATTACTTACTATGACATGTCTTCTAGCCTGCATTCCCCTTGAGCCCTCCACCCAGACTGCTTAAAAGATTTCATCTATTTTCTTTGCTTCAAGTTCTTCAGTGGTTCCCGCCTCACAGAGTAAAAGCCAAAGTCCCTGTAATACTTCAAAGATCTATGATGCTGTCTATCCCTGTTGTGACTGTCTTCAGCCAAGTCTCCCCTGAACCATCCTGTTTTGGCCTCTCTAGAACCTGTTGGTCTCCTGCAGGCTCACCTCATCACCTTCATCCTTAATATTCTTCCTTCCTGGAGTTCTTGCTCCCAGGACCACAGCACAGTTTTCTCTGTGAGGTTTTCCAGGTTTCTACTCAATTTTTGTATTTATAAGAAAAGGCCTTCCAAGTCAATAGGATGGGAGGACAGTTGTATGGCTGGTGCCCTCCCCGAGGGCCTTAGTCATCTCTTTGCATCAAAATTTAAGCTGAATGACAAGGGCTTGTTTACTTGCTTTATGTAACATCATTCAATAAAGATGGACTGGAAAATGATAGAAGCTTTCCTGTCCTCACCTTTCAGCTTCACATACTTCCTCAGAACTTCCTACACTCTACACAGAAGGAACTCACACAAACTCGAGTTTTTACCACACATACTTTGCAGGTTCTTACTTTTCTTTGTTATACTTTAAATGTATAAGTTCCTGGATAAAATGTAAGCTTAATTAAGACTAGTTAGAATGCAAGGTACCCACGATAACCAATCTGCATTTTTATACCTCATAGTTCATTCTGCCTACTGACTTATAAATCAACTCTTGTGCAGTACCTACAGTTCCACCAAGGTATTATCATTACTAGTGCTTCTTAGAAAATATTTGCTCTACATCACTACAAATAAAGCATATTCTACTCTCTTAAGCAAAAAGGTCAAAATGAAAATCTTCATTTTTAAAGAAAAGAAAAATGCTATTTTTCTAACAAAAAGAAATCAAACAGTTGAAACGCTGAAAGGGAAATTTTCAAGAAAAATCCTTTAAATTGGAAAACATAGCAAATTGCTGACAGAAGTTTTTAGATGTGGATAAATTTTAGTGGCTTTGTGTGAATTGTTTTCCAAAAGTGAAGACAAAATATTTCCCAGTAATACCTTTCAAGGTTTTGATTCACAGCAATGATAAGATCAATTTGTAAGAAATTTATATTAGATAATTGGATCCTGCTAAGCATTTTACTTAAATAAGAAAACAATCAATGTACTGTTTCTATGTTCATACAACAAATGGTTATGAAAACTATGATTAATATAGAGAAGTAAAGGGAGAAAAAAGATTACTCATGGCAAAGAAAGCTCTGGTAAGGACATAATTTTAACTAGCTCAAACAAATCTATATACAGACAAGAATAAAGTTATAGTTGCTGGGCAGTGGTGGCGCACGCCTTTAATCCCAGCACTCGTGAGGCAGAGGCAGGCGGATCTCTGTGAGTTCGAGGCCAGCCTGGTCTACAAGAGCTAGCTCCAGGACAGGCTCCAAAGCTACAGAGAAACCCTGTCTTGAAAGACTACAAAAAGTTACAGTTATAAATATATGTCAATATGGCAGTAAGAAAAATAATTTGTTCTTATTTTATATAATATGTTCAATCATGTATTCCTTGACCTTGAGAATTTAAATACTAGAGAAAACACTTTGTGGGAGGCAGTACTGGGATCAAACCCTGAGTTTGTACATGCTAGGCAAGTCCTCCTTGGTTAGTTGAAACAGGATCTTATCATGTTAGCCAGGTTTGGCTTCGAGCTGTTGATACTCTTACCTCCATTTCCCAAATGCTACTTTGCCTTATTGACCTAGACTTGCTAGGACATTCATTGCTTTATTGGCATCGGAGCCTACTTCTTTGGGATTCGGGCATGTATACCAGACCAGCTGAGATGCCCGGCCTTATGGGACTGAGCAGCTACTAGATTCTTAGACTTTTTGTTTACAACTTCCCATTGTTGGATTTGTTGAACTGCCACTTGTAAGTCATTCCAATATATTCTCTTCACACACACACATACATACACACACACACACACACACAGAGAGAGAGAGAGAGAGAGAGAGAGAGAGAGAGAGAGAGAGAGAGGCTTCCGGCCTGAGCTCTCTCTCTTTTCCATCTTCCTCTCCGAAAGGCAGCTTCACTTCTGCCTCTCTCCCCACTTCTCTGCTTNCTCTCTCTCTCTCTCTCTCTCTCTCTCTCTCTCTCTCTCTCTCTCTCCTCCCTTCACCCTTCCTCCTCCATAACCCCCTGAATAAACATTCAACCTCACCCTGCATGTCGTGTCTATCCATGTTTCTGTCTTCTGCCCACCCGCCATGTGTCTCCTTGCCTGGGACCAGCCATTGCTCAGGGACCAGCAGCCGTCTCTGCCTGGGGCCCACTGCCTGCTGCCACATGGCCCGCCACCACTGCTCTGAGACCAGCAGCCATCTCTGCTTGGGACTCTCTGCTCCCAGGGCCTGCTGTCTGCTACCACATGGCCCGCTACCACCATTTGGGACCTACAGCATTTCTGCTGCCTACTGCCGCGGGGATCTTGCAGCGTTTTTTAAAAAAGAATATTAGCAAGTACATAGATATACACAAAATTTTATTTTAATTTTAAAGGATAAATATTTATTAAGTACCTGCTATGCACATAGTACAGTCTAGAAGCTCAAGACACATGAGGGACAAAAAAGACAAATCTTCTCCTTTCATGTGTTTCTCTATCAGGAGAAGGGACTAGCAGAAACAAGAAAAGACAAAATTATATAACATCTTAATTTCCCCCACAGACGTGGCCAGTGGGGGCAGTGGAAAAAGGTGATAGGAGAACTTGGACAAAGTATAATTTTTAGCTCATATGAGAACTGACAAAAGGTGTTTTAGGAAAAGGATATTCATATCTGTCAATTCATGCAACATAGCTTCGGAGGAAACACCTTAGTTACAGTCTAACTGGCCTGGATTAGAAACCTGTTTCATGTTATTTGATGGTCTGAGTGTAAATTCCACCCCTCAACAAAATGGAACAGTTTCATTTCCATAATAAATTCCTGGGTGAGGCTGGGCAGTGGTGGTGCACGCCTTTAATCCCAGGCAGAGTCAGGTGGATCTCTGTGAGTTCGAGGTCAGCCTGGTCTACAAGAGCTAGTTCCAGGACTGGAACCAAAAGCTACGGAGAAACCCTGTCTCAAAAATCCATAAACAAAAACAAAAAAACTACCAAAAATGACAGGAATAGGAAAGTGGGGACATATTCATTCAAAGAGAGGACAGAAAAATTGGTAGAAAAGTAGACAGGAACTTACTCACAAAATTTTGGAATTGGAAAAAATAATGCAGGCCCTAATGATAAGTAAAATCCCTTTAGTTGACTACTAAGTCCCTACTAGCTAGTTGTTCTGACTTGTAATATGAGTTCAGGCTACCATGAAATCGATCTGAAGTGTATACAAGATGAAGTACCCTCAATCTAACCCAAAAGAAAACAAAAACAAGCAAAAGTGACATCTGATTAGCTCATAACAAGGCCAATTCCTATCAAATGTCCCATTGGACAGCCCATAATATATCAAGCCTTTCCTATGTAAATAGTTTTCTAGTGGATCTGAGAATCTCAGCCTTACCATTGGCTGTTTTCAGATGACTGTTCAACCAAAATGACTTAACCTGAATCTAATGAGACCCCAGACAGTTTCAAACTTGCTTGTACTCTTTTTTTCTTTTAATATTAGGATCAAAAACACAAAATAGCTAAGGAGAGATGACATATTTTAGATATGAAAAAGACAGAATAAGGTGACAGGTAATATTTATAAGTGAACATAAATGGGGCAATGAATTTGAATGAGTATTAAATTAGGTAATACTATTTGGCCAGCTAAACTTTTTTTCATGGTGCTTGAAATGGAATTTGGAACTTTGCACAAGATAGGTAGGCTCAACCATTGGAGATGGTTCATGAATACAGCATCAAACATGTTGAACTTGATTTTGATAAGTTGCACAATAGATGCAAAAGTGAATG